TCTGGAACAAAAATGCGGGAAAAGCTCGGAAAAACCATTTTTTTCCTCATTTTTTAAAATTATGAGCTTTTCAGAGCAAAAAACGTGATCCTTTAATTTTTTCAAAAATTTGATCGAGTGAAACAAAAAAACGGCTGGCTGGATTAATTTGGTTTTTTGTAGGGTTTTTGTGGACATATTGAACTGTAGAAGGCACACTTAACATTAGTGGTTTCCTCAATATTTTCGATCCAGCGCTTGATTTTCCGAAAAACCACCAAAAGCCCTTTTTTTGTTGCATTTTCAAATTCATGTGACAAAAAGAAAAAATATTTTTTTCGGAAAACCGATGGCCAGTTGTTAAGGAGAATTTATTGAAGTTCTTGAAACCCACCATTAAATTTCTGTGCGATCATTGGTTGCTGAGATATCGATAATCAAAGACAAAAGGATCCTTTTCCATTTGAAGACCGATATCTCGGCGAGAAGTGGGCGTATCAGGGTGTATAAAAAAGCAAATTAAAGCTAAATGAACAAGGTATCCGATCATTATAGTGGTTAAGCTCAAAAAAATTTCCACGTCCGTAGACCAAAAAAAAAACTAAAAAAATTTTGAAAATTTTTTTGTTGCTGGTTTTTCTACGATTACTCAAAAACCGCGGAGGGTACAAAATTTTAAAGTTCGAATTCAAAAACTAGACACTTGGATCTACAATTTCCTTTTTTTTTGATTTCCTGTACGACCATTTCTCTCGAAGTTACGGCCTGTTGAAAACTGCCCTAAAATTTGGAATTTTTTTTTGATCCCTTAATTTTTTCCATTAGTGTACAAAAAGAAATCCATTTATTTCATTGATTTTCTCAAAGTTGTTTCAAAAAGATATGTATTATACAATTGTTATGCACCTATTAATTTAATGGGAAACACCAATGACGCCAAAACATATTTGAATCCCTTTGAATTATTATCGTTTTGAATGATTTTACAACATTTTTTCTCTCAGTGTATGTTTATACCATTACTAATGGTCCATTAGGTACCTAGGCAGTGCAGTCAATAATAAAAGCTTTTTTATTTTATTTTTCAACTATTAGTGTAACTACTGTGGTCAGGGCAGGATTTATGCATGGGCATTTAAGGGCAAGTGCCCAGGGCGGAGTGTGGGGGCGGCAAATTATGGTAAAAAGATTCATATTTCTGGAACAAAAATGCGGGAAAAGCTCGGAAAAACCATTTTTTTCCTCATTTTTTAAAATTATGAGCTTTTCAGAGCAAAAAACGTGATCCTTTAATTTTTTCAAAAATTTGATCGAGTGAAACAAAAAAAACGGCTGGCTGGATTAATTTGGTTTTTTGTAGGGTTTTTGTGGACATATTGAACTGTAGAAGGCACACTTAACATTAGTGGTTTCCTCAATATTTTCGATCCAGCGCTTGATTTTCCGAAAAACCACCAAAAGCCCTTTTTTTGTTGCATTTTCAAATTCATGTGACAAAAAGAAAAAATATTTTTTTCGGAAAACCGATGGCCAGTTGTTAAGGAGAATTTATTGAAGTTCTTGAAACCCACCATTAAATTTCTGTGCGATCATTGGTTGCTGAGATATCGATAATCAAAGACAAAAGGATCCTTTTCCATTTGAAGACCGATATCTCGGCGAGAAGTGGGCGTATCAGGGTGTATAAAAAAGCAAATTAAAGCTAAATGAACAAGGTATCCGATCATTATAGTGGTTAAGCTCAAAAAAATTTCCACGTCCGTAGACCAAAAAAAAAACTAAAAAAATTTTGAAAATTTTTTTGTTGCTGGTTTTTCTACGATTACTCAAAAACCGCGGAGGGTACAAAATTTTAAAGTTCGAATTCAAAAACTAGACACTTGGATCTACAATTTCCTTTTTTTTTGATTTCCTGTACGACCATTTCTCTCGAAGTTACGGCCTGTTGAAAACTGCCCTAAAATTTGGAATTTTTTTTTGATCCCTTAATTTTTTCCATTAGTGTACAAAAAGAAATCCATTTATTTCATTGATTTTCTCAAAGTTGTTTCAAAAAGATATGTATTATACAATTGTTATGCACCTATTAATTTAATGGGAAACACCAATGACGCCAAAACATATTTGAATCCCTTTGAATTATTATCGTTTTGAATGATTTTACAACATTTTTTCTCTCAGTGTATGTTTATACCATTACTAATGGTCCATTAGGTACCTAGGCAGTGCAGTCAATAATAAAAGCTTTTTTATTTTATTTTTCAACTATTAGTGTAACTACTGTGGTCAGGGCAGGATTTATGCATGGGCATTTAAGGGCAAGTGCCCAGGGCGGAGTGTGGGGGCGGCAAATTATGGTAAAAAGATTCATATTTTCCGAAACTTTAAAGTTTGGTTGCGAATATCATTATTATAATAATAGACTAAGAATATTAGTCTATAATACTTAGACTAACAATATTAGCAAAAGCTAAAACAATTATTCATTTCTTGAATCCAGACTTCTCATACCTGCTAAATGAGCAATGCTCATACCTAAATTTACGATTGCATAAGGTGATTTTTCTGAAAAAAATTTAACTAACTCAGTATATCTTACTATACAGGGTGTCCCATAACTAATGTACAATAAAGCAACTATAGAAATAGGAGGTCAAAATAGGTTCATTAACAAAAATATATCTTGGTAAAATGTTAGTAATAAACGAGATACAGAGCGATAAATGTGAGATCTGATTTTTGAAAATTTTTAATATTTGGAAAACTATTCATTACCTATGTCAAACTCAAAATTTTGGTACTAGGGTTTTTAAGAACGAGAAATACAAATTTGACATAATTTTTTATGGTACTCCTAGAGGGCGCTAATGACACAGGTCGAATTGGGTAAATTATTACTTACTTTTTTTACCCCTTGTATTATTAACATTTTTATGCGAAATAATGAAATATCTATTATTTTTAAATGAAATATGTATACTTATTTGATATCAATATTAAGGTGTTCGAGATATTTCCATTTAAATATTGCGATGCATGTAAAAATTATTTAAATAAAATATTAGTTTAATTCAAAAACAAACAAATAGGTAAGAATACTTAGATTTATTTCATCAGTGGCCAATATTTACTCCAATATACTTTGTTAAACTTATTTTTTAAAAACGTCTTATTTAAAAAAAGTAATATTAATTTACCCAATTCGACCTGTGTCATAAGCGCCCTCTAGGAGTAGCATAAAAAAATTGACAAATTTGTATTTCTCGCCCTGTATCTCGTTTATTATTAACATTTTACTAAGGCATATTTATGTTAATCGACCTATTTTGATCTACTTTTTCTATACTTAGGGCCGGTTTTTCAATCGTTGGTTAAGTTTATCTTATGGTTAACTTTCTTAGATACTATTGTGTTGACAATAGTATCTAAGGAAATTAACCGTAAGATAAACTTAACCAACGATTGAAAAACCGGCCCTTAGTTGGTTTATTGTCAATTAGTTATGGGACACCCTGTATACATTGCGCAGTAGAAATCCGGAGCTTTGATAAGACAGGCGGCAAATAAATAAGTTAATATTGTTTTATTTTAATATAAACTACACTGTTTAAAAGTTTCACTATTTTATTTAAATATGACAATTGTTTCGCTACACAGTAGCATCTTCAGATCGAAGATGCTACTGTGTAGCGAAACAATTGTCATATTTAAATAAAATAGTGAAACTTTTAAACAGTGTAGTTTATATTAAAATAAAACAATATTAACATGGAGTTTCATCAAGTAAAAGTCGAAACAATTAATTAATTAATAAATAAGTGCCCAGGGGCGGCAAGAAGGGAAAATCCGGCCCTGACTGTGGTTGGCACTATGGCGCTTTTTGTTTATTGAATTTATGTATTATCTCAAGTATCTAGGTATAATAATTTTAACCACGATTTTAAACATTGAACTGCGCTCAAAGCGATTTGCTTTGCTTGCTTACCCTGGCGCCGCGGCGCGCCGTAATACAACGGATTCAATTTACATAAGAGAAGGCCTAGACATTCGGGAAAATTTTTAAGTACTACCTCAGAGCAGAAGGGTATTAAGTCTAAAATTTCTAATTTTTTGTTTTTTTTCACTTACTTAGATTCAAGTTTTGTAATCTTTTTACTAGGGCTGTACAATTTAGCCGGTTAAGCTGGCTAAAAAAGTTAGCTAAGTTAATTAGCTAGCTAACTGATCAGCTTAGCTAATTTAACCGGTTAACTAAATTGGCTTAGCTAATTAGCTAGCGGCTTAACCGGTTAATCTAGCTTAACTCAGCTAATTAGCTAACGGCTAACCGTATAAACGTACATTTTGTTAATAATTTGATTATTATTTAGTAGAGAATATTATTTAGGTAGTACCTAATAGGTACATAATATATTATGTAAATAATATACATATTATATATTATTTTTCAAAAGCTTTTATTTATATATAGATTAAAATAGGATTTATACTATACTATATTATATTATATTTATGTATACTATTATTTAATAGATATTATTACCGTCGTTTTTTATAATAAAAACATTAATATTACTTTTTGAACCTGTCGGTGAATACGAAATTATTAAATGTGCCATTTAGCCGGTTACCCGTTAGCTAATTAGCTGAGCTAATTTAGTAAAACCGGTTAAATTTGCTAAACCGTTTGGACAAAACGACCAAAATACCATAAAGTTATTAGTACCGCATAACTCCTATAGTGCAAAATATTTTTTTGTTTTCGCTCTCCTGTAAAATTCATGTTTTGTGACTTAATACCCTTCTGCTCTGAGGTACAGATATGCAACTCAGTTCGTGTTTTATTATTATAATGGTATCCAAGGTAATAGGTATTCACCGTACTTACCTACCAAATAAATTTATATGGAGGTGAAAATATTGGCCCTAAGTACCTACTCCTTTTACCCATTCTACTCATTACTCAATACATTGCATTGTATTTTGAAGTATCTAGAAAATGTATATTCTCACTTTTTTAGATGGAGGGAAAGACCGACCATGAAGGAAATATTCAAGAAATATGTGATAACAATGTAAGTGATGGCGAATTCAACGAACCGTTTATGCCCTCAGAGGACGAGAATGATCCAGAATACCAGCCACCAGTTTTAAAACAATCAAGAAAGCGTAGTATGCTGGATTATTTTCATACAAAAGGCAAAAAGCGTTTAAATACTGCAATTGTATTACGCTCACCGTCACCGTTAGAAGATTTACAATATGACAGTCATACTTCTATATCTATTTCTACTATTATTCCGTCATCATCACTGTCATCTTCATCTTATAGCCAAAAGGACTCGGACTCACCATTTTCCAAGTCAACCCCAACCCGAGCCTCGACCCCATTGCTTTTGGATGGAAAATTTTTTCAGGTAGTTGAAAGGTCGACTTCATCATCACAAGTGAAAGCACAATGCCAAATATGCCTACCAAGTGTCAAATACTTTAAAGGTGCTTCAGGTTCCACTGCTAATTTCTTGAAACATTTGAAGATGAAACATACTTCTAAATACGAAGAATATTTAAAATACAAAAAAATTAGTCAAGAATCTTATCGCGATCCTCTTTGTACTAACCTTATCAAGGCTAAGAAGCAAAACAATATTCCCCAATGTTTTGCGAAAATTGGAGCTGTTTCGCAAAGTGATTTTGATAACCGCATCGTTAAATTTATTGTTCACACAATGTCATCAGTATCGGTAATAGAAAACCCAAGTTTCAAGAAACTTTTTGATGGAATGGACGTCAAAATTATGTCAATGCGTACAGCAATTATGCGAATATCTGATTTAGCCCAGAAAAAAGTTTGTGATCTCAAAGAGTCGTTTACCGACACAAAGTACTTTTGCACTACGGCAGATATTTGGTCATGCAAAACCAGAAGTTTCTTGGGGGTCACGTGTCACTGGATAAATCAAGATTTAAGTCGACACTCTGCAGCGTTGGCGTGTAGAAGATTTAGCGGTGCGCATACGTTTGACAAGATTGCTGAACACTTGGACTATGTCCATTCCTTTTATGGTCTAGACTCCAAAAATCTTGTAGCAACTGTCACGGATAATGGTTCAAACTTTGTAAAGGCTTTTAAAATGTTTGGAGTGCAGTTACCCCCTTCCGATTTCGATGAAGGTGCTAGAGATATAATGCCTGTGACAGAAAATGATTCCGAACAATATAAAGCTGAAGATGAAGCACTATTATTCCATGAGGAAGAGGAAGACGTATTTGTTCCAACCGATATTGAAGAAAACACCGTCAAGGGGGATAAAGAACTGATTCAACCAAGTTTACCGAATCATTATAGATGTGTCAGCCACACCTGATTGCAACCTCAGATATCACAAAAATTATTAATTCCAATCATGTAACAAGAACTCGGCACACGTCCATAATGAAAAAATGCTCAATGCTATGGAACAAAGCCGGACGTCCCAAATCAGCGGAAATCATTAAGCAGGCACTTAGCCACACCATCAGTTATCCCGGCATAACCCGTTGGAATTCATTTTATGATGCGATAACCCAACTTTTACAAGAAAAAATTAAACTCCCATCTTTATTTGAAAAATTGGGTATAAAAAATCATACCATCAAAGAAAATGAATTCCTAGAAAAGTATTGTCAAATTCTGAAACCCATTGCTTCAACCCTTGACATCTTACAAGGTGAAAAAAATCTTTATTTTGGCTACGTCCTTCCTTCTTTGCTGAGTCTCAGAGTAAAATTGCATAAACTGAAGCAACTTGATTTTAAATATATGACACCTGTATTAATTGACTGCATAACTTCTCTAGAACGGAGATTTTTAAACTATTTTAATATGAATGAAAATTCTAATAATGCAATTGTTGCTGCAGTTACACATCCCATGTTTAAATTACGATAGTTAAGCTTAGTCAAGGGTCACAACCAAGAACAAAATGTTGCAGTGATCGATTCTGTGAAAATAAAAAAAATTGTTATGATCGAGGCCGAAAAATTGGCAAATGAAAATCAGAAGGACAAAGCCATCGATCAACAAGCTCAAGTGTCAAATTTGACAAAGGCTGCTGCCGAACATTTTTTCGAATTTATGGACACAGATTCGTATGATACTCAAAACCTGGATAATGGAAATGGGAATAAACATATCGAACTTCAATTATTGCAGTATAATTTTCTTGTTTAATGTTTCAACTTTAATGTCATTGCAGTTTTAGTTTTAAGGTTTAGGTATGGTGAAATTGTATATGAATTTCGTAATATTTTTGTTTTTTTTAACGAACTGTTTATTTTTTAAACATAATGCTGCAATAATAAATTATAAATTTAATCTTTATTCAATAAAATACATATAAAGTACATATTGAATTTTCATAATTTTATAGTTTTTATTTATACTTAAAAGTAACTTAGTTACTCAAAGGTATCTTAGTTACAAAAAAGTATCTTAGTTACTCAAAAGTATCTTAGATACTTTCGTATAGTATCTTAGATACTTTTTAAAGTATCTTGTAACTAAAGATACTTTCAACTCAAAGTATCTAGTTACCCAAGGTAACTTAGAAAAGTAACTAGATACTTTTTAGAAGTAACTTTCCCAGCTCTGTTGGTAATTCAATTTAGGTGAGAATCTACATAATAATGTATACATATGACAATTAGTTTTAACTTTGTTTGATATAAAAAGATCTATAATTTTGAAAAAGATTCCTGTAGAGTCTTTCTTTAATAAATAAATAATAATGTTTAAACGAATTTTTATTACAGTATAGGTAGGTACAGGTAAAGAGTTTTATCTTATGTGTAAATAAATTTCTAATTATTTCAGAAAAAATAAATCATTTGGTTTTGCATCACAAACAAACTAATAATTATTGCACAAAACATAAAAAGAAAAATCAAATAAATTATTATTTAGCATCAGCGTTATAAAATAAAACATTTGGTTTTGTATCACAAACTAATTATACATAAAAGGAAAATGAAATAAATTATTATTTGGCATCAGCATTATGAAATAAACTTATTGAAATATTGTTTTTTTCACTGCTAGATGGTTTTTACAATTTTTTTGTAGATTTTTTTCTTCGTTGGGATGAATTTCCTTTTAGGCTCATTTTCCTTTTCCCGCACCCTTCCTGAATCTTCACTTAACTGATTTGTATTTTCTACAGCATTTTTTCGTTTTTTTCTCTTTGAGGTTCAATATGTTTATTTGAAGGGTCTCTCTGATAAAAGTCAGTATTTATAAAAACTGCTGTCATAAGATTTGCTAGATAAAAGATGGGGCAGTGGCAACAAAGCCTTTTCCATGACCTTACATTCTTCAACAATTGTAACCATAGATATCATTTTATTAAATAGTTTTATTGCTTTAGATTTTGCTGCATACACATTATTATTTAAGTCATGAGATTAATTTGACAAAGGATTTTTGAGGGACCTTAAACACAGTTATTGTAATGTATAGTTTCAATAACAAATTTTTCACTTACTTTAATATAATATTTTCCTCCGCTTTTCTGGAATCACAATCAATTACCATGTGACCAATATCTTCTCTTTCTTCAATTGTACTAAGTTTTCCTTTGGGAGACATCCTTAACAAATGAACATGTTTACATGTATATGTGCACATATTCCACGAAAGTGATTTAATTGAAGAGTCTGGACAAGAACAACGATAAGAATGGATACAATCGGTACATTTTATGTTGCAGTTGCATAGAAAATTAGTAGTAGATGGTTTTATATGATATGTGTCTGCACCAAAAGTAGATGATACAGTCCATTTTCCATTATCTTCCATTATTATGCATTGATCTTTGACTTCAGTTGACCTTTTATGTCTTTTTCGTAATTCAGAGATTTTGGTCAATTTTTCTACATTTACCAACATTAATACATAAAATCAACTCACTTCTGTTTAAAGTTATAAGCCTGTCGAATAACTTATCGCGAATAAAATGTTAATAGCATGTACAGCTTTATCCAGTCTCTTTACTTTTCTTCCTTCAAGATAAATATATTTTAACACCATGCATACTTTCTAGGTGCATAATAGTGTTTATACCTGAATATAATCTGTAGCAGTATGCCCATGACATCTTATTAGCACAATAGTAATTTTCAAAGTATTTTCAAAATTATTTGGATTCCTTATCATGGTTTCAAGAGCTTTGGATAATAATTTTTCAAAGGCAACTTGGTCTGTTTCTTCCAGTAAAGTTCTCACCACCTTGTATATTTCAACTCCATCTTCTAAATTAACAATTTTCTCATTAATATTTTCCTCCAAGCTTTGTCCGCATGCCAATAAAAAAAATCTAATAGAATAGTGGATTATAATGCTACAAAAGGAGCTGTTGGAAACGCTGACAAAATGATACGCGAATATGCATGCTCTCAACGAATTGTCCGTTGGTAATTTCCATTATTCAAGAATCTAATCGATATTGCCGCTACGTCATATATATTTCCAAAAACCCTGATTTTAGGAAAAAGCCTTTGCAAGAAAAATATTTCTTTTAAGGAAAACCGTTAGCCAAACCAAATATTGAACGGCGAATCCCGTATCTAACACACCACCCCAGTATATATCAAGCAATAGTCGCGTGTGGTGTAACCAATACAAAAGCAGCTAAAGGACAAACTCCTTATGTGAACAATAAAAAAACGTGGAAGATGTCATTTAAGTTCAAGAGCAAATGACAAAAAAGTGAACATAGTGTGACACGTGCAAAAACTTTGTATACGAGGGCACACTTACTCACGTGTTCAGTGTAAGACTCATTTGCAAGAAGTTGAGTGATAATTTTAAGTTATGAGAACAAACATCTTTTATTGACAAAATTTTGTTTTTTTAAATATTTTATGTGGTATTTTTTATTTTGTTGAAATATTTTGATCTTTGTTATTGCTACATAAATACATATTTTTGTAAAAACTATCTTATTTTTATTATTAAACCCTCCCTGTTAAAAAAAACTCTGGGTTAAAAGACCCCACGTCGTACTATATGTAGAAAAAAATAGCGTCGTATTTTAAGGGTTAAAGTTTTGATTTTACTATTTAAAAATGTCTACCCTATTTTAGTATAAAAATGTTATTTTTTTTTAATTGTAGTTATTAATTAATTCTCATTAAATGGTAAATTTTGTATCTGAATATAAATCATATTAATTGCCCTATGCAATAATTCCAAATGGTTTTCAAGCTTTAATTCCTTGTTTATTCACAAACATAAAATTAAACAAATACCTTTATGATTGTTTTTTGTGATGTTGGAATTTCTGCTAATAGGTTATTAGTAATAGCAATGGCGCTCGTGGTTTTCTAGAGAAAAAAGTATATCATAGATAATAATAATATTTATTTATGCTCTTAAAAATACAAATTTTTGCACAAGTTACACAGAGTTTAAAGATAATAAGTGAATTACAAATATAATAAGTATACAACAGGAATTAATAAATAAAAGATAGCTTAAACAGACAAGAAACCTGTATAAAAATAAAAATAAAATTAATAAATAATAATAAATTATGTTAGATCACTAAAATTATTTGATAAAAATTCATCCATGGAATAAAAGGCTTTTTAATTAAATATTGCCTTAACTTAAATTTAAATTGTTGGAAATTTATAATTCTAAAACTTAAACGTTGAAGACATTTTTTTAGACAAATATCTTGCCTATTTCTTGTATCATAGTTATGTACGATTTCATGGATTATAATTATGTACATTTTTCTTAATGTAAAGCAGACATTAAATAATAAAAAAACATGGAAATGTAAGAATTTTTAATGAAATAAAGTATTCTTTGAATTCGGCTCGATAAGATATATTTGCCATGACTCTAACTGCACTGCTCTGGAGACCGAATATTCGAGTTTTAGAACTCGATGCTCCCCATACTAAAATTCGATATCTAAGTATTAACTCTACAAGTGCAAAATAAGTTCTGCTTAGATATGGTTTTGATAGTATTTGAGCAAGATTGCGCAATAAAAATATATTTGTTGTTAGTTTTTTAGCTAGTTATGCCATAATAATTGTGAATCAATATATTAGTCCAAAAACTTTGTATGCTCGATTATGTCCAGGTTTATATTGACATTTTGGATAATTTTTAAACTGAATAACATGTTAACCGTCTTTTTAACGTTTAGACTTAATTTGTTGGTGTTAAACCATTGCAATGCCATCGATTGTGTAGTACAACTATTCTGGTTTACGACTTCCAATTGTTTACATCTTACTGCAAATGAAGTATCAACTGCAAATAATGTGATGTTGTCTGGTGATGATAAATGGTATGGCATATCATTAACAAATATCATAAATAACAGGGAACCCAAGATCGAACCCTGAGGAACACCATGATCTACTTGTAAGGGTTTAGACTCAAAGCCATTGTGTATTAGTATTTGCTGTCGTAAAGATCAATATGGGTGGAAATTTAAGTAGTAGAGTTTTCTGATTAGAATTTCATGTGAAAGCAATCGAAGGCCTTGCTCAAGTTTAAAAAAAGTCCCTATTAAGTATTCACTAGACTCAAAGCAGTTATTTACTTCAGAAATAAATGATAATATGGCAACCCTTGTTTATCTGAAAATAACTTTGAGGAATCAAAATGTTGTAAAATTTGTTTATAGATAAGTTTTTCATATACTTTTAAGAAAATTCATAAAAGTAAAATTGGTCGGTAATTATTGACTTGATTTCGATCACCTTTTTTGTATATTGGAACAACAATTCCTTTTTTTAAGGTTTTTGGAAAAATATTGGAATTAATACTTAAGTTAATTAGTTTAGTGAGGGTAATTAATATTACATCTAACAATGTTTTAATGAGATCTACATTGAACCCATATATATCTTTAGTTTTACTTGGTTTAAGATGAGACATAACATCCCGAACCTTATTAAATAATACTTCACTACAATTAAAATAAGTATTAAGGTAAATTGTCGGTAAGGACATTATTCGTATGGGGTCTTCCTTAGTTGTCTACTAACCAAGTTCCACATAGCTTTTGGGCTATTATGTGAGTTTTTAATAAAATCATTGTATGCTGATATATTGGGGTTTTTTAATTGCTTTTGGTAGTGGTTTTTAAACGTTTTTAATATATTTTTATTGCTTAGTGATAATTGAAAATGTTTCTTTACTATCGGATCATTATTGTTATTTAAAGCATTAAACTGAAATTCTATTCCTAGGTGATCAGAGAGATGGGTATTCATAGACTCATAGACAGTTTAAATGTGTGTGTTAGGTCCTCTAGTGAAAAAATTAACTATCGGCCGTAGGTAAAACTCATAAATATATCTTTAACATTAGACGAATTCCGGTCTTTTAGATGGTTAAACTTAAGATTAAGTCTCCAACTATAATAATATGAGTATCAATAAAGTTTAGTGTATATAACATCTCATTTAGTTGGCTATAAAATCTATTAATGTGCTTCGATACAAAGTTAAGATTTATTGAGGGGAAAATGAACCTGCTAATTCAAAATCTTTTTCTACAGAGAATAAATGAAGGCTTTTTATTTCAGAAAATTTTAAATTTTTAATTGCTAATGGAAGTACACCACCATGTATAAACCGAGTTATTGAAAAGTGAGAAGTTTTTGTAAAGTTTTTAAATTGTATACTATCCATTTCAATGCTTAAAATTTATTAACTTTGTTTTTGATACTTTAAATATACACATAAAGTAATTTAAATGTGTTTATTGTACTTATGCATGTATTGATGCTGGTTTTCGATTATTCTAAAAAATTACGACCCAAACCAAAATTAAATTTCTCAAAGACAATACCTTTAGGCCAAAAATTAACATCATAAACTGTTTTATGTTTTTTATGTTTAAAGTCAATTCCCAATCATGAATCGGCGTTTATTAGATTTTTTATTTTTAATCTCACATTCTTTTACTTTAACTTCATCGGTATTTGAATTAGTGTATTTAATTAGGTTATCTTTTATTATTTGTTCTGTTACATTTTCATTTAGTTTGGATAAAAACAACCATGCTTTTTTATTTTTTGTAGAGGAATTGCTAATAAATTCTTTTTCTTCTTTGGTGCCCACTAAGATGGTTTTGTTTTTTCTTATATTTGCCCATTTCGCATTTATTTCTTCTTTTTTCTTTTGCTGTTTATTTTCATCATCTGAGACGCCAGCGTTTATTTTTTGTTCAGTCGGAGCGGACAATTTCTGTGGAACCATCTGTTGCACACATTACATAAGATCTTGTATGAGTTAGTTACAATTTATTGAGAACACTTTCCACAAATAATTATTACACTTGGTAATTTAGGCATAAGGGCATAACGCTACGCACCTTAAAACTATTGAATTTTTCTTCAGACCAGAGTTTTCTTTTGCTTTTATTTTCTTACTTAAAAGTTGTTTGCAGTCATGAGCGCAAAAGTAAGAAAATTTCGACAACAGTGGTTGATGGAAGAATGGGCACAAGGTAAATATTTAACCCTTATTTGTGGTCTTGTGTCATTTTTAAATATAATACATAATACTTATAATATTAGGTTGGTTATTTGATGCAACGGAGGAAAAAAATGCATTTCAGGATGCGTGCGTACTGCAAAGTGTGTCGTAAATATTTAAGAGCACACAATTTAGATTTAAAGGATCATCAGAACAAAAAAACTTAAACAAAATGAAATTTATTTATCCCGTGAAGCAGCAGAAGACTTTAGACAATCTTGTAGTGGTTGATGCAGCCTATGTAGCTATGCACGGTTCCATTAAAAGCATAGACCCTTTAACGGAAATATTTAACAAATTTATGCCAAATCAAACAAAACTTCATAGAACTAAATGCTTAATGTTGATAAAAAATGTTATTGCTCCATGCCTATTAAA